CATTCCACCTTTATGCCATTTCAATGCTATTCTTCCCACCTGGAATATCTTCTGCTCTCCATGTTTTTCAATTCCATTCATTCCTCAAAGACCAAGCTGAGTCCCATGACTTCATGAAATCTATTTCCATTACTTGAATTCCACATGGATTCTCTCAAAGTGGTGAGCTCTGTGTTAGCTATTATTTATTAGAAACTCGTGTTCTGGATTCTGTTCAAAGTATTTTACAAAAATTATTTCATGTAATATCCAAACTAACTCAGCCTGTAGGTATTATTATCTAATATTTAGTGAAGGCAACAAGATTTAAAATTTTCAAATTTAAGCATCAAGTAAGGGAAAGAGAACAGGGAGACTCAAGTACATGGCTATTTAACTGCACTTTTACATGAATTTTCCCTGAATGTTTAGAAAGGGGACTTATAGCAGACATAAGCTAGACTCTCAGGGAAGAAGGAAGTGTGGGATTTGTAAAAGTCCTTCAGGAAACAGGATAATCTGCACTCTTTGAACTGCTACCCTGTGAGCATAATACTTGCCTCATATCTAAACTTTCCTGGCACTCATCACTAAAACTTGTTTCTAAATTGTACAGAAATTTAGGCTATATATTTTGGTTTTCAGGGGGGATATATTATTTTTTCATTTGTATTTATTTTCTCAATTATTTTATGTTCCTTCTTATTGTTTTGAATATGTCTCTGGCTGCTACTTCAAATCTGTTTAACAGTCTCCATATTAATAAGACTATAACATTACTCTTTGGGTATTGGAAACAATGATATTTAGTGCCTCATGACAGAACTAAATTTACTAAAATGTAGATGACAATAGTATTAATCACAAAATTGCCAACAAAAAACCGGAAACTCAGAGGTAAGGAAGCTTAATGGTTAAGAGCACAAGTCCTGCTGTTCAACTGTCCCAATTCAACACTGACTGCATAGTTTATTAGCTATATAATGTTGGATATGTTTTCTTGATCTCTCTGTAATTTTCTTCTCTTATATGGAAAATTAAGATAATAATTACCATAGAGGGTGATTGAGAGGATTAAATGAGCTCATGCATATATGGTTCTTTGGACAATGCCTGGTATATAGGAAGTCTTATATTTGTTACTGCTGCCGTAGGTTTTTTTTGTTTGTTTGTTTATATAACAAATATCTTTTCCCTATCAAGTACTAATACAATCACAAAAAAGAGTAAAAATATATAGCATACAATAAATACAGTAACTAAATCCTGAGTGATCTTTTGAAATAAAACTACCTACAGTTTTCTGTGAAAATTGTCCTATGTCCAGGTTGGCTACTCTCTGAAGACCCCACTTGACTCTCCATACCAACTTCCTGCTTTTTTGTGGTCTCTAAGTATAAGGTTTACTCTTAAAATGAATGCCATCATGGTGGTTTTCTGCAAATGTATGTTTCTTCCTATCTGGCCTGTCAATGTCCCCTCCCCACCTAGAACTCATGCTGCATATTGGTGCTGAAAATTCTCCACTACAGTAGGGTAACCTTTGAAGGAGACCCTCATAATCTTTACCAGTACTTGTCTGTCTTTTAGGGAAACCTACCTGAATCCTGTAGCTTGACAGATGCTCTACCAGCCTGCATCCCAAAGGAATGTGATCGAACTCTCTTAATGCTGATGTGTCAGGTCATTACTTGGTGTAGCTCATGGTTCGCTTGGCAATTAGAGACAAAGAGAGGACTCATTGATGGGAGAATTTGTGTTGTGGCAGCAGAGATATTTTATAGTAAGACCTTTTCAATACAGACAGTTTTTGCTCACAGGTGGTCCCAGATGTCCAATTGCAAAATGAGAAATAAAAAGTGTAGTCAGGATTCCATTTTTCACTCAGAATAAATCAATCCATGTGGGTAAATGTTTTATCAAAATCAGTAATGCTATCTTTCAGTGTGCTTCTCCCTCAACAGTTTTTTTCCCCTCTTGTTAATAGTATCCTTGTTCAGCTTCAGTAACTACTATGTATTACATCCAATGCTCACAGCAAACCAATTGGTGGAAATAGCCCAAGATATTCAGGAGTCAAGAAAACTGGATCCACTTCCAAGTTCTAACATTTACTACATAGAAAACCTTGAACAAATCAGTTAAACTTCTCTGAACCTCTCATCTGCAAAACAGGAAGAATATGATATACTTCACACAGCCAGGGGAGGAATAGCCAGGGTGTTACATTTATAAGTGCACTGTAACCTGTGAAGTTCTTCACTGTACATATGTCATTTGGTGCTCCAAGCCACCATGATGCCCTAGAAAACTAACACTGGCATTATACTTACCTTCCTGTTGATATTAAGACTTTTTACTTCAGCCAATTCTGCATTTCTTAAGGGAGAAAATTTTATCCCAGTATCTATGAGATTTGGCAGGAAATTCTCATTGATATTTAGTTAGTAATATAATATGCATGGATCAAATAAAAAGTACATGTATGACTTCAGGAAAAGAGAACTGTCACTTGCATTCTTATATTTCCATGATGCTAAGACTAGACAATTAGTATTAGATAAATATTTGTATATAAATTTTATTTTCATTTATTTATTGATACAACAAAAATGTTTATATGCAGTGTGATACACACAGTCATGGCAAAGATGAAAATTAACAAATTCATGAATCAACATCCTATTTGCACTTGAGAAGACCTCTTTTATTCAATAAAGTGTTGATAGCTTCATGTTATACATAATCTTAAGGAACTAATGATTAGGACTGGGTGTCTCCTATCAATACAGGATATAAAAATTCAAATGTATAATCATTTATATACATATATTGTATAATGTTTATTTTATTAGTCAAACTACTTTACTCTCTGGGGCTGTAGGGGTGTAGCTTGGTGGATGAGTGCTTAGCATATGAAAACACTGGGTTTGATCCCCAGCACTGCACAAAAACCAAATAGGAACTTTATTTTCTTGAACAACTGTAAATTTGACTTTAATTAACTAAATATATACTCTGAGGAGAAATTTTAGGTAGTGTACAAATCAGAACAAAAAAGTAAAGTAAAAGAGACAAGAGAGGAAATTATCAGGACCTTGGATCTGGTTTTTATTTTTCCTGAACTGCTTAGATGAATTAACTCGATTTTTTCTTTTGCTCAAAAGCCAGCATGTTATTCCATGTAGATTTTTTTTAAAAGACGAAGAAAACTGCAATAAATGGATATATGTTTGACCCAACTTTGTTCTGAAGAAGCCCAATGCTAGTTTCCTACTACATATGCTAGTTTCAAAATCTGTCTGTACCCTTCCAGAACCAGCCTGGTTTTAATGGGTTGGAGATACATGCTCCTAAGTCTACTTTAGTATTTTCCTTCTTTCAACTTCTGATGTGGTCCTATGCATATGCCCTTTCCAGTCCTTCCAGTCAAAGAGGATGGGATATAACTCTCTTCATAGTCCACCAAGGGTACTTTGGCTGCCAAAAATAGTAACAGGAGACATTCACTGCCCATCTACCTTACTTCTGCAGCACTCAAACTTCTGCATCTTAAGAGACCGTGACTGAAAACGTGAGCTAGTTCTTCAGAATTTCTAACATGTTATTGTTGCCACTTTCTCCCTTACTTTAGCAGAGTAATTTAATTCAATTTTAGAAAGAGTGAGAGAGAAAAAAGAAAACTTTTCTAGTTACATAGATAAATCCAATTGTTTGCAGCTTCAGAATGAATTTTTAAACTTGTTGAACAGAAGCATACAAATCTCTAAGAGCAAGTCAGATAATGTACAAAGCCTCCATTCATTGTGTAGGCAGAAAGGAATGCTGGTACCCGGCAGCTCTCTAAGGAATGTTCTTTTGGCTTTGACTGTTCTGCTGGGAACAAGGAGGGAAACACATATATAAAATGAATTTATAATGTCTCTGGCTTGTAATGGTGAAATGATAAGAAAAGTTGGCTGTTTAATATAAACTGTCAGTTGCATATTCCAGGCCTCCTCTCTTTGAGGTCCCTCCCACATCCACACGCCTGGCTACCGTTTAGCTAGGAGTACAAAGTGGCCGTTTATTATTATTGACTGGTGAGGCCTGTGCTCTGAAACTCATTCTGTCAACAGAATGTAAGCAAAGTTGGCATTTTAAAGCAGGGCACTTTCAGTTTCTGGGTTTTCTCAGGATTGCTATGCAACAGGATCAGTGCTGTAGTCCCCGGTTCAAGCTGAAAATGTTACACAGGAAGACATACCATGTAAAGGTCAGATACTTCTCCTATGATAATTTTCTTAATCTGTGTCTATACACATGAACTTAAATGTATACCTCTTATCATAACTTTTACCAAGGTCCTATGAACTTTCCACCTCTCAAGCCTAGAAATATGATGGCATTTTTAAATGGGAGATTTTGCTAATAAATGTGTGATGCTATAATATATGTATGATGCACTAACACCAAGGTGAACTTAACGTGTGTTGTCAAGAAGACTTGCTTCTCTGATAGAGTCCCATTAATGTGTTTGTGCTGTGGACCAAGGACAACCTTGTTTATTCATCTCTATATGCTTTTATAGTCAGAATCAACCTTACAGATTACTATGTAAATGGAAAATATGTCTTGACTCATATTTTATTGAATTGATTGGCACTGGGTTGCACTTTTCCATATAATTTTATTTTATACCATTTCCATAAAACAATATATTTTATCCATGGACTAGAAGATTTAACTTATGAAATTTGTGAAGTCACAAATATATTACTTTCCAACTCATAATGACAAGGAATAAATTTACTACACCTAATTAGATGTTCATTTTCAATCTACATAATAACACGAGACAATATACCAAGAAAAGTGATTTGGGGTATATCATCTCATATGGGACTGATTAAAATGTCTTTTGAACTCATAGTTTATTCTTTTTTTCATAGTTTATTTTTGTAGTTCTCCAAATTCACATTCACTGCTGGTTTCTTTCGTTCAATAATTCTGCATGTATCCTTCTTCCTGCTGTCCCATAGGACCTCCAAGGAGAAATCGAAGCTCACACAGATATCTATCACAACCTAGACGAAAATGGCCAAAAAATCCTGAGATCCCTGGAAGGTTCTGATGAAGCGGCACTGTTACAAAGACGTCTGGATAACATGAACTTCAAGTGGAGTGAGCTGCGGAAAAAGTCTCTCAACATTAGGTAGGAAAAGATTGCAGCAAAAAAAGCCAGAGATGAATTAAAATGACAAAATTTTCCTCGTTTTCTTAGCATAAGTAGCTAATATCTCATATGTTTATGTAAATCACCCAATTTTGGAATGATTCATTTTATTTTGAATAAATGAATCATTCATTTGCTTGGAATGGAGATGATACTTGAGGGTTCAGGTTAGATTAACATGGTGATGTTTTATAACCACAGGAGAGATGCATATTAAGACATTAGAGTGAATTTAAATGAGGAGTACAGCTCTTCTAATTTCATAGAGTTCTCTATTGGCTTATCACAGGGTTATACAAAAAGTTATAAAATTAACGGATGTTTATTATGGAATTCTTTCTTTGGCATTACTCAAAATTCATACCGGAGGACATTCTTTAAATATCAGAACTCATTATAATTAACAGTTTAGAGAAACCCTCTCCAAACTCCTGCAGCTTAGAGAATATAGCCGCTTTTTGTCATTTGATTCCTCTTAGATTTTTTAAAAACACATCCCACATGGGTATACTGAGCTTTTAATTCTATACTCACCTGTTACTTTCTACTTTGCCTCATTCTATGTACCAGCTTTTTTTTGAGATGGATGGATCCAAACATCATTGTAAGGAAAGCAGAGAGAAGCTCTTTGCCATACCATTTTGCTAAGATAGTTCAGTAAAGGGATAAGAGAGCAGAGCAGGTCTGTGAAATGCCTACTGTTACCTAAACAATCTACCAAGTGGCATGGAGTAGAAGTTAGGCTTTCTGATTTCTGATCAATTGCTTTTCCTTATCTACTTTTTTCTGGAGATATTTCATGATTTTGTCTTTGTATATAAAAGGATTGGTGGTAGAAAGAGGTAAAAAGGACAATGAACTCAATAATAGTTACAAGAGAATGCACCAAAATAGTGAGAGGTGTCAATTCCTCTAGGAAATAAAGATTACAGAAAGGAAGGATTTCTTTATTCTTTAAAGTTCTCCCAATTGTCCAAAGTTTCAGCATATAATGTATCTACTCATATAAGGAGGAGAAAAACCCTGACATTTTATTAATTCAAAAGTACTATTATAAAATTTTGCACGTAATACAAAATAATTATAATGATAGAAACTAACACATGCTATGCCAAAGGGGCTTCACATTATTTACCCATTTCATGCTCTCAGCAAACCTAGATAGATTTCATTATTATGCTCTCTTTATATTTGAAGAAAATGAGGCATAGAGAGTTTATAACTTTCCCAAGATTACTTAGTTAGCAAGTGACAGATCCAAGATCTAAACACAGAGTATCTGACTTTAGCATCTGAGTTCTTAATCATCATATTATCCCACAGAGTACACAAGAAACCTTTTTTAAGATAAATACACAATGGAAAAGATGAAATAGAGAAGCAGATTTCTGGGAGTAGAAAAGTATTTATTATTATTTATAAGGCTTTCCCCCCAAGTTTATACCCCAGCTTTCAAGCCACTTGTTTTTATCTCTCTATTCTGTTCATGATTTTTTTTTACCCATGTGTTGGTGATGAGGTGGGGGCAATAATGGCAATGGCATTTTCAAAGCTGGGGAGGCTCCATTCATTTTCTACAGCTTAAACTCTTAAGAGAGGTCACAGTGTGTAATGACAAAGGCCACTTTCATAACATCTGTCATTAAAAAGGAATGAAACATGTGAAATGGAAAAGATATTGGTAGGTAAAGAAAAGAAAGTTATTCTTTTTTTGCAGGAAAGAAAAAGCAAGGTGCTATAACTGTTCTGAACATCACTCAGTGCCTTTTTTCTCCTTCATATGAACTTGATGAAATAAAAGGAGAATTGAAAGCAGCAAACAGCATGTCAGCCAAAATATGGGCTCTTCATTCTCAGCAATTTCCCATATGCCAGCTCCTGCAGTTTAATTCTTGCTGTCATTAATCAAGTAGAAAACAGTTACCTTAGCTTATCTAAGGTGCTGCAAATTTGAGAATTTAAATATTCAGATCAATGATTTTGGCTTTTAAATAGGCCTCTCTAATAATATAGAATGTGTTATAAGCATCAGCTTGTAAAAAAAGAAAGAACTAATTCTTCACATAAAAGCAATTTAGTTTATTCCTGACACTTGATTGAAATAGGATATCACTCAGTTCTTAGTGAATGGCAAGGTTCAGTTCAAAGAAGCTCAGTAGAGATAGTAATTTAGGATGATTATGAAAAAGAATAAATGAACACTGGGAAGAGTTAGATACAGAAGCATTAATGGCACTAATAAGCCTGCATGGGAAATCTCATCTGTAACTCCATTGAGGTTATTTTATTATGAAAAGTCACCACAATTAAAAAGTAGTTCCAGAGATACCCTGGAAAAACAACCGTGTTTCTCCAAATTATAACATACTAAATAATTATAGTTGGTTTATTGTTTTTGAGGGATTCTTAAACCATTTATATATTTCACAAAATAAAAGCATTAATTTCACAGGTGTCCAATTTTAATGAAAAAGAAATCATTTGAATCCAAATGATTTTGAAATTTCCTTTTTTGCTCTATTGGCTCAGTAGAGGTATCCTTGTATTTCTAGATCTATACCATGTTCTTCTCCTTCCATTTATTTTCATTAGACCCTACAACTTTTCTCTTCCTGTGGTTCTTATTCAAGTCTTCATATCATACCATACTGATAGATTAACATACATAGTTAGACCATTCATTAAATATTTACAAGAATATGCTACCTAGACACTTTCCATCATATTACTCTTTCATTCAAGAGCTACAATCTTGTCATGCACACATTGTACTCATTCAATCATTTATTTGTTCATTTGACAAATACTTAATGAGTGCCGACTACATATCAGGCACTCTTCTAGGCACTGGGGATGCATTAGTGAACAAAGCAGAAGAAAAAAATTACGGCTCTCATGAAGTTAGTCACTAGAATCTAGTGTACACACCATTCTCTACCAATTCTGTCACATAAACCTTTGCTAACCCCTTTCATTCTCTGTTCATCTCCTGTCCCCAGTGTGCTTTTTACCAAGCAGAATTCTAGTTCCCCAACTAGATTTTCTAAGCCAAGTAGATTCTGCTTTCTAATCCCCTTCTTGCTTTCCAACAATTTCCTTATTTCTTCATGTGAATATGTGTATATCCTGGTTTTCACACAACACCATCTCTCCATGCATGCCCTAAATTTTTTCCACATTTTTATTTGTGCATTATGGTTGTAAATATGCATGGGATTTGCTGTTACCTATTCGTATGTACATACAATAAAATTGGATCAATATCATTCTTGAGCATTCCCCCCCCCACTCCCCACCCCACACCATTCCTTTCACCCCTTGGTCCCTTTCCTCTACCGATCTCCCTTTGATGTTTAGTAGATCCATTTCAATCCTTGTTTTTCTTTTTCCTCTCTCGCTTCCTTATATGAGAGAAAACATAAGACCCTCAACCTTCTGAGTTCAAGTTATTTGGCTTAACATGATAATCTCAAGTTCCATCCATTTTCCTATATCATGCTCTAAATTTTGACTCAAATTCCATAATGAACATTTCTCTCTCTCTCTCATATTCATATATATATATATAAAATCTGTTCTTTCACCAGGTCTTCCTAATACAATCCTAATTTACACATGAGGGTCTAAGGTATAGCTCAGTGGTAAAGTAATATGCCTGGCTTGCCAAGGCACTGGGTTCCATCCCCAATTTGACAAAAAGAAAGAAAAAGTATATATATATATATATATATATATATATATATATATATATATATACATATGTACTCACTTGATAACAAGTTCCTTTAAGTATTTATAAGTTGTTTCAAAAGGCTCTCTTGCTCCTCCACCTAAACTATACGAATGAAGAAATTCCAAATTCTAAATTGTTGCTTTTCAGCAATTATTCCTTATTAGTAAGGTACAATAGAAAGAATCTTGGACCAGCAGCTGAGTGACTTAGTCATTAAGCTCCTTTTCTTCTTAGCTCCATTTCTACTAGCATGTCACCTTAAACAAGTCACTTAACTGCTACCTAGCATGCCACCTTGAGAACGTCACTTAACTACTTCAGACTTCAATCCTATCCCTCACTGAAATTAAGAGGTTTAACCAGAAACACAGGCGATCTTGTCAAGTTCTCCTACAGTTCTACAATGCTATTATTTTTAATTATGCACTTGCCCTTTATGAACCTGGCCAAATTATAGAATTTTTCTACCTTTGTTTTCCTATATTTAAATGAAATTGATTAATTTAAAATACAGGATGTAAGAAAAAGTCAATAAGACATCTTCCAGTAAAAAAATAATACTTTAATTATATAATCCTATCTCACAATTTAATCCAAGAAAAGTATATACCAGGGCTGGGGTTGTGGCTCAGTGGTAGAGTGCTTGCCTAGCACCTGTGAGGCATTGGGTTCAATCATCAGCACCACATACAATAAGAATAAATAAAATAAATGTATCTTGTCCATCTACAACTAAAAAAATATTAAAAAAATAAAAGTATATGCCATCCATTTCATATGTATTATATCACATCTTATCCTTGAGGTATAAGGAGAAATAAGTAGTCAGTGAAAATGATTTGAGAAATGGTCAAGTTAATATTTTATATAAATACAATTCAAAAAGATTTCAATTCAGACTGTTACCAGACTTTTTCCAGATTATTGTATTACTGTTAAATATGAGAATCATATATTATCAACATAACTTGAGCAAAGTTTATGTTTTCTAAGATTCTTATATATGGAAGAAAAACTTGTAAATATTATATAAAACATTCACATTTATAAATTTTTGAACGTTAATTTGAGAGGCAAGAACACTAACATTATATAATCCACAGCAGCAGTACATCTTTTGGGAAGTATTTGGTATTAGAAGTTAGATTAGTTAAAAAAAATTTTCTATAGTGGAGAACAAACAAAGAACAAAAAGAGGCAGAGTCTTTCTACTTTTGAGAAAAATGCAACTTGGACATTGAGTATCTCTGACCTTCTTTCTCTCACTCTTGGAATGTTAATTATGTTGGAAGTTGAAGTTCAAGACAATCTGGAAAAAAAAAGGTTTATTTATCTTTAGGCTTAATTCTCTCTCTTTATTTAAAGCCTCTTAGCTCCCATTTAATTTCAGTGATTCTTTATTATTTCTGAATTTGTACTTTTTCTTTCTGTATGTTCAAGTGTTGTTTTGTTACACAAGGCACCAAATATCTATGGGGATATATCATTAATTTTATAAAAGAAGTCAAAGTGAAAAATGAATTCAATATAACACATTTTGCTTTAAGAATATGTGCCTTTCAGAGTAAAGTTTTATTAAGGATTTCAAAATAGGCATCAACCAAATCACATTTGAAATATCTGTATCTAGAGAAATAACAATCACTTTATCAGCCCCTATAATTCTTGGAGTGCTGTCCCCAAAGAGTTATTTAAAGACTAAGCAATACATCCCAACATACCTTGAAGGTTCTGCTTTTTATCTAAACCTTACAAGTTGTGGAAATTATCTGCTTTTTAAAGATCAGCACTTGCCTTGTTAAAAGCTAGTAGCCCCTAAGCTCTTGTCTCCACTAATAAAGATTAATAAAAAATGGATAGAAGCTAAGTATGCCCCTTCAATCACCTCTTTTATTTTCTGTTGAATAAGTATGGATAAATAGAGTATATGTGACAATTAAAAAACAGTGTTTTTGCTCAGGTATCCAGAATATTTAGTTAAAGCCAGTAAGTTGATTTCCTCATCTTAGAATGGCTTGTAATTTTTTTTTAAAAAATGTATTTATTTGTTCCAGCCAATTATACATGACAGCAAAATGTTCTTCAATACATTGTACACAAATGGAGCACATTTTTTTTACTTTTTCTGGTTGTACATAAAGTAGGGTCACATCATTCATGCAATCATACATATACCTAGGGTAATGATGTCAGTCTCATTACACCATCTTTACTACCCCCATGCCCTTTCCCCCACTCCCCTTTGGGCTTGTAATTTCTATTTCCCATGTCTAAATATGATCACTCAAGTTATGTGCTTCAGCAATTGTCTTTTTACCCTTGCATCTTCCAAATTGCAAAATAAGATATTTAACCTATGATGTAACAGCCTTTGATACAAAAAAAAAAAACATTCCATATCCAAAGAAACCTTTTCAGGAAGAGACATTCCCAACACAAACATAGGTAAATCATTTTGAAATATTCAGTATACACTCACAAAAATAAGGATAGAGCAGCTGCTTCCAACAAATGTACTAGAAATATCTCTTAAAAACATTTTACAAGCTTAACATGGTCAAAGAAAATATTTAATGAGCTCTCAGTGTTTCATTACACTTAGATCTTTTTCAAAATCATGTAACTAACAAATACCACCTTTGCCCTGTTGAGAACAAGAAGTCACATTTTATCACAAATACTTTCAAAAGTTCTTAAACAGTGGTCTTGGAGCTCACCTGCAGAGTTGTGAAGGTTCCTGTTGAAAGTATAGATTTTTGTTAAAAATGCTGAAATTCTGGAGGTGGGATCTAGGAATCTGGAATCTAAACAAGCTTCTAAAGTTTTTTATGCATACTAAAGTTTAAGAATCACAGCATTAGACTGAGTACCTTGTTATATATTAAGGTGGGAACCATTGTCTAACTGGACTGTCTTTCTCTTCTCCAGCCCTTAACCACTGTCCCCTGTCCTTTGCATAGATTTTTGTCCTCATGTCAGATCTTTTCTTATACTCTTGTGCCTTAGGAGGGAAAGCAAAGAAACAGTCATTTGATATGTAGTTAGGATGATCAAACATTCTGCAATTTTACCTAACTTCACACCTTAGGAAAAGTCCCCTCACTCAGATAACTGAGAGCTTTCTATCTTTTGGTGTTCCAGATCCTTCTGCTTCTATTCTGTGAAGTCTCTTGACTGTCCTCTGTCCCTGACTTCTTAGAGCCTTATTATATCATGCTATTAAGTTACCATTAGATCTTTAAAACTGGATTCCCTAAGTCTTTTAGTTATTTTTCCCTTTTAAGAAACACAAAGGGGTTCATTGATCCACTAATAATTAGTCAGCACCATTTAACCTAGAACTGAAGTTGTAGCACTTCCTTATTTTAAAAAAGCAGCAGCTTATGGTCTCACCATGGGCAGCCTGCCCTTCACCAAATCCTCTCTTAGAAGTCAGTATTTGTTTCTTCTACCAGATAAAGGGAATCCAAGCATTAGGTTTCTTTTATTCTCCCTTTTCTTCCCCTCTTCCTACTAATTAATGCTTCACTGGAACTTAGAAACACTTAATAAATACTTATTTAATCAGTTTCTCTTCTACCATTGGCTACTTTTCCATGTCTGGACTGTGCCTCTCTCTTCCTACTTTTCAAACTGTCTTGCTAGAAAGCCTCTTTGGACCTCAAGGGACTCAAGTTAAAATTCTAGACACCCCAGGGAATACTTGCAACCAGTACTCATTAAATGCCATTAAACAGCTAAAATTTTGCATAGGGAATTCTCACTTAGGTTTATCACAGAAAAGTGATAATTAAAATGGAAAGAAGGAATAGAAACATAAGAGAATTATCTCCACACTGTTTGTAGTCTGCATGCACTATTCATGATACTTAGGTGTGTCATGATTCACTGATTAGATAATAATACCCTTGGAATCTTTAACAACTCGATTTCTCTTGTTTGTAGAAGTTATCATTTTTTCTGAATATGATGTTTTTATTATGCATTATAGAAAGAAAATTCTGATGATTTGGATAAACATGAAGAAACAGATCACTTGTAAATCCATCTCTGAGGGATAACATGGTTTTCATTCCAGAATTTTTCATGCATTGTTAAGCATGTGCACACAAATATGCACACACATAAACATTTTAGAAAAATAGATTATATTCATTTTAATGGTATTTCTTAGCTTTGATTTATTTATTTTTGGTAATTTTTTCATTTGTTCATTTTAGTTATACTTGACAGTAGAATAAATTTTGACATATTATAAATACATGGAGTATAACTTTCCATTCTTGTTGTTGTACATGATGTGGAGTTACACTGGTTGTGTATTCATATATGAACAGAGGAAAGTTATGTCTGATTCATTCTACTATCTTTCTCATTCCCATATGGCTCCCTTCCTCCCACCCCCACCCCTGTTCAATCAGGTGAACCTCCATTCCTCTCCCCCAACCCCATCTATTGTGAGTCAGCATTAACATATCAGAGAGAACATTTGGCCTTTGGTTTGGGGGTGATTGATTTATTTCACTTATTATGATAGTCTCTAGTTCCATCCATTTACCAGATTATATTCATTTTTATAACTGACATGATCTTTTCCATATCCATAAATATTTACCTATATTATTATATGGAATACTGCATAGCATTTCATTGTATGAATTCATCATGATGTGTGTAACCAATTCCCTAATATTGAATATTTCAGTTTATTTCTACTTTATAACAGCCATCAATGATGCTATAAACAAAATTTTTTCTATTATATCTTGGTAAGATTTTCCAGTTACTTTCTTAGTATGAATTCCTCAAACTTAAGCTTGCAGGTCATTGTATTTGCACATTTTTAAGACTTTCATATTAGCCTTCAGAATGTTTGAAACAATTTAATTTCAGTAATAGGTACTCTTTGGTGATTCTTTCAGACTGAGACCAGAAGGAGAATTGTATTTGATATGTTAGGCCACATTATCAAATGGCCAAGGGAAATGTTGTTCTACCTGGCTGGTTTTCTTTACATTTCAAACTTTGCAGCATTGGAGAGTTTATTATATTTATATTATAGGCAGCATTAATTTTATGAATTAATTAGTGCTTGCTGGTAATATGTGAGTGATGCAGCAAATTCCAGATTTACCTGAGGATAAAGTTTTGCTAACATCCTGTCTTTCCTCTTTGTTTTTTTGGTGATGATTCATTTTATTAATTTAGCTTCTCATCCTCAAGTGAAATGTGGATTTTATAGCACAGATCATTCATTGTATATTCTTAAATGGCTTCTAAGGATTTACATGTTCTAAATACAGTCGATGGTAAAGCACTCAGTCTACTGCCTTAATTATTCATGTTTGGGAGAAGCTTTCAGACAAACGTCTGATTTTCCTCTTCCACGTGAGTTGTTGTCTCAGTACATTTTACACAAGGGAAATGAAGCAGAAAATGTCGGAACTTGGTGAAAACAAATCCCAGGTGCACAGGAATAAAGAAGGGTAGAGGCAAAGGAGAAGCATATGGAAGAGGAGCAGAAAGGAACAGACGCCAGAGGGAAGGAGTCAATGGAAAAGGCTGCCTAGGGTGTAGAAATGGAAAAGTCAAATTGTGGGGAGAGACCTTTCCATTTCTCAAAGTAGAAAGAATTCCAGTATGAGCATGAGTCACATGAATATGGAGGGGTTTTTTATTAGTCACTGGATCCATTTTTTTTCTACCAGAAACATTAAGAATTATTGACTATAATAGGCATGTAAAAAGTGATCAATTCCAGTGTATATGTCATGCCCCAAGTCTTGAGATGATAAATGTGGAAACAGATAAATGGCTGACTACTGCCTTTTCTCAAAATTGCCACCAAAATACCCTCCCACCCTACATGATGGCTCTCAAAAACAGGAAGTCAGATTTTTAGTGAATTCTACTATGAAGTTCACAGTAGGTTTATACACTATGGAAATAACCAACCAATAAAAAGGAATTGTTAGAATCATCTATTATATTTCTAGAATATTCTGACATAATTTTCCCCTATTATTTTTCAGGTCCCATTTGGAAGCCAGTTCTGACCAATGGAAGCGTCTGCACCTCTCTCTTCAGGAACTGCTGGTGTGGCTCCAGCTGAAAGATGATGAATTAAGCAGGCAGGCACCTATTGGAGGCGATTTTCCAGCAGTTCAGAAGCAGAATGATGTACACAGGGTAGGACATTTTTAACCCTAGTGCCTTATACATAGTAAGCATTAAGTGACTACTTTAAAATTAGTTTTGTTCAAAATTAAGTTGAGTGGAGATTTTTTTTATTACTCTTATCCAAGGGTCAATTATAAATAATGCACACCATTATATTTTAAATGTCAGAGGCACCCACATTAATAATACCCTCTAAGAAATTGCCCATCTCTTTTGGCTATTTTTAAAACCTTTTTATCATGGAAAACATTGAACATTTACAAAAGTAGACAGAATGTTGTAATAAATACTCATGTATTCATCAGACATCAACAGTCATCAATTCATGGCCAGGCTTATTACATCTATGCCTCCTCTTCTTCCCCCATTATTTTGAAGCAGATCTTAGGCATATAAACCTACTTCAAACTACAATAAAGTGACAATCAGGCATATGTCACTTTATTCATAAATATTTCAGGAAGTGTCTCAAAAAAGATTGCACCATTAATATGTGCTAATAATTATAATAAAAAGAAACAGATGGGAAAGCAGAGAGCTACAAAAGTTCTTAAGTACTGAAAAAAATATATCTCAAGAAGATATGAGTTAACTCTTCATAAGTAACCAGGGTACTACTATTGTGAAAAAAAATCAGTAGTTGCAAAATATTGAATGTCCAGTAAGTATTAAATTTTTTCTCTCATACAGTCAAAATTTGTTATTTTCTTGTTTTGTTTTAAATGAGAATTGAAATGAGAGCCACACATTGCATTTGGATAATTTATCTCTCAAATTCTTTCCCTTTTTTTTCAATAAGTTATAAAGTAACCAAGTTTCCCTGTACATTATATCCAGTTTCCTCTATGGTTACTTCGTACATAACTGTAATAAAATTGCTATTGTCATTTCAGCATGCAATCAATATAAAAATGTGTTTCCACAGCACATCTTAAGTCATATTAGCTATATTCCAAGGGCTCAGTATCCATAAGTAGCTAGTGGCTACCTACTGAATGTGGCTAGTAACCTACCTATCCGATCATAATCAGGTTTGGCTTTTTTTTTCCAAGACTGCTTTATATATGTTAGTGTGTTCTTCTATCATCAGGAGACACATAATACCTTGTTTTCTCTTTTGTGTATAATTTTAGCAGCTGTTAATGATTACTTGCTAGAAGTTGCAATGTGCTAATTGCAAATTTCTATCATTCCATTTTCCTTTTTTATCTGGAAAATATGAGAAAATGATCTTTGTATATTCTTATGGGATAGGGAAGATACCCAGTGTACTATCTGAGTACCCAGTGTACTATTCATATGGGATAAGGAAGATAAATGTTTGTATTGTACTTTGACAATTTTAAAAAATAATTATTTGGTTACTAGCATTCTCCAGCAGTAATCAGTTGTTTCTTTTTTTTATGTTTCTATCTGCTCTTCTAGGCTCTGAGTGAGAAAGGCAGAGATGTGGCCTTGCTCACTTCTAAGACCTATAGCCTAGCAAAACATCTGATGTAGAATGGACACTGCCAGTAAGTCTTTTTGAAATGAGAATAAAAGACACACGAACAGAAATGAATAGCCAACCTAATAAATTATTACCAAATAACAAAAATTTGATAAAATTGCACCCCTTTTGTATGTTCAGTACTTAAAGGAAATATCTCTATGGAGACTCAGCCAAAGGTGGCATCTCGAAGAAAGGTCAAGGGTTTCCATTATTCCAAAGAAGGGAATATAGAAGATTACAAAAGGGGAAGTGAACATGTAAGAAGACCCAGGGGTCTTTGCAAAAGAATGCCCAGAAAACTGCCAGTTTATCCCTTAGCTATTCCTTTTATATAAATCAGAATATCTTTTGTCATTTTATTTTTTATTAGTTCATTTTAGTTATATATAATATTATGGTTCATTTTGTCATAATTATACAAGGATGGAATATAATTTGCTCTAATTTAGTCCCCAGTACTTCCTCTTTTCCTTCCATTCTCCCTATTCACTTTCCTCTATTCTATTAATCTTTCTTCTCTTTATAGGTTTTTTTTAACTAGTGTCTCTTGAATATACATAAAGTTGTGATTCACTGTAGTGTATTCATATAGGTACAAAGGAAAATTAGGTCAGATTTATTCCACTACTCTTCCCTTGTCCCATTCCTTCTCCCTTCCCCTCATACCCTTCCTCTGTCCCACATATCTCCCTTCTATTTTCAAGGATAATTAAGAATCTTAAGTTAGCTTTTATAGTGTGATAAAATTAAACACTGCTATATTTTTAAATGTTATTTGAATAAGTAGTCAAAACAATGGTATGTATGCAGAAAATATTCATTGAGAACAGTGAACATTTTAAATAGAAGACATTATATGATATGGTGAAATGAGATTGAATTTCTGTAAAAATCTGTAATTTTAATCTAGTTCCAGAAACCAAAGAAAATGAATCATTTTACAAGTGCACCAGGAATCAGGAGATTGAGACTAGTAATATTCATCATAAATTTTGATTGCCATCACTACTTTGTTCAGCAACTGAAAGATGAGGATATGTTACAAATAATTTTCATGGTCCCTTTTATCCAGTATTTTATTATAGATACTATTTTGCTATCCCTGGTTATTGGCTTTGGTAGCTTTTTAATAGTGGTAAAATGTTTATACTTAAAACTCTCAGTCTTGACTCAGGAATTTCACCTCATGATGTGATTCAGGGAAATGTACATGCTAGAGTTAGGGTAACATGTACCAGAGTTAAATAATCCTTTCTTGATTCATGTGCTCACTCAGGTGTGCTCACCTATTACTTTTCTTTAACCTAACAGGACTTCTAGCTCATTGATAACTCTGTGTTTTACACATTACTTCCAGTCCTACTTCATGTTTACCTACCTTCAACTACAACTTAGATTTAATCATCTCACATTTTCCTGTTTTCCAATGCTCTCAAACCTTTTTTTTAAAAATCATTTTGTTGCTACAATCTATAAAACCTTAAAACTTGGAGGATCTACATATTTTCTGCTAACCAGGCAACATGACAGCAAATTGGCAAGGTACCTTTTCAGAGTGACCAACCTCCAGCCTTCAGTTGTTACCACATCCATGGGTCAGTTTACCTCCAAACTATTTTGCAACTCTCTACTACTGTCTTCACCATAGTTACAAAATCTATTTCTCTTAACCTTTCTGCATCTGTTCTTACCACCCCTACACTGCAATCTCTACATTTCACTCAGACTAGTCTATGTAAAAATGTAAATTGAATTACATCAGTCTTCATCTTCACACTCTTTGGTGGCTTCTCAATCCCCTTGGAAAAAGGCCAAAATCTCAAGTTAGAGGCATAAGGTCTTCTGTGGCTGGTTTGAACTCAGCCTTTTCTTACTGCTCTTTCCCTTGCTGGTAGAACACCAGTCATAATGTCTTGTTTTGTTTTGTTTTGTTTTGTTTAAGTTCTCAATACTTCTCTCAGGTAACATTTTGAACATACTGTCCTCTGTCTGAAACCCTTTCTACCCACACCTATTCCCTCATAATGCCCACATTATCATCTTCTAACCCTTCATATCTTGGCTCAGTCATTATGCAAACTTTCATGGAATGCCCACATTTTACCAAATCTAGCTTTTATACACTATCATAACTCTGTCTACCTTTCCTTGTATGACTTAATTATTCTTTGTCATTGTGCATATGTGTGATTGTTTGATGAATGTCAGTCACCCTACATATACCACATACTCCAAGAACCTTTTTTTGGTGAGGATGAGGTGTCATTTTTATACCTACAACTTTACATATTGCCTAGTACATGGTAGACAATACATAATGGAAAAGGGAATCAAGGAAAAAAGAAAGGAGAGGGAGTGGGAAGAAGGAAAAATAAATAGTGAACTAACATTAACCTTTTTCCTTCTCTGGTCTACCAACAACAAAGGCAAGGAAAGAAGGAATAGTGATGTTCTTTCCTTACCTACAGGGTTTTCTGTTTATTCCCAACTAAGCATCTTTTTGTAAAGTGTTTAGAGTTACTTTGATGCATGTTGTTTTTATTTATAGTCTGGCCCAGTGATCTCATGTGTCTCTTTTGGTATCTTTAAGGAAAATTCTTATCATAAAGTGTCTTACTCTCCTTTCCTCAGAGGGCATCATCACTCCTGAATGCCAATGAGAGAATAATTTAGCACTGATTGTATTCAGTTCTGTCACATTGATGCAGTAGCCTTTTCATAGCTATAATGCAAGGGTCATCTGGTTAGTGATATGCTTGTTAGCTGTGGACAAAAAGAACAAAAGAAAATCCTTAAAACTGGATCATTCCATCCAATTTTCTGAAGTCCATTAGAAAGAGAAAAAGGAAACACAATCAGGATAAAGCTCCCTCAAGATCTAGTCATTTACAGATATTGTACTTTACTTTTATTAGACTTTTGTTTTACTTTGCTTTTTTATAGGATTATAAATTATCTGGCTCTCTATGCATTTCTTGATTCAGTTGTTGTTTATATAGAATGTATGGTATCAAGATGGGTCACTTGTAATCAGAAACTTATTCCTCATGTATTTGCAGTGTCACCTTTTTAAAATCATTTGCTTACAATCTGTTCTAAATTATTGGTGCCCTTGGTTTTTGCTTTTTATGGGAATACATATCCCATTAAGATGTCAAAAGTTGAAACTATAATCAAACGTTATTCATATTTGCTTTTATTTGGTATAAATCGGGATTTTTTTAAAAAAGATAATTTACATTTTCTTTGGATATCATTTCATATTAATGATGAAAGTTGATAGTAAGATGTCATATTTCTTATTCTGTTTTCTTCAAGTGAAAATATATAATCAGTCTCAGTTTCTGTGGTAGAAAGATATATGATTTTCCTGTAGGTAATTCTAAGATAGTCCATACAGGGACCGTAGTCTCACTCCTCAAAGCAATTTTCACACCCAGGAGAGTGGATCTGTGTTCCCCAAACCAGCTGGGCAGCATAACAACTACAACTGAATGGCTCTCAAGACTAATTAATA